CCTGCACCCCCCAGTACCAGGCTGACCCCTGCACCCCCCCCATACTGGGCTATGCAACCTGGGCACTGGGACCCCCTGGGCACCAGGCCCCCCCTGGGTACCAGACCCCCTGCACCCCCCCGGTACCAGGTTATGCACCCTAGGACCCCCAGGGGTGGATGAGGGGGAGTGATCACTGGAGGCTTGGAGGCTTGAGTCCCCACTCAGGAGAGGCTTGGGTAAGGGGTGCAGTGGGGGACGAGAAGAGGCATCCCTCTCCGCGGCTCTGTCCCCTCTCTGGGGGGACTCTGGGAGGCCTTCGCTGCTACCCTTCAGCCTTGCTGTGCAGCATCACCACAGAAACGGCCACCCGTTTCCTCGGTGACCTCCCTGGGGGGCACCCAGCTGCAGGATGGCGCTGGGGGTAGGGGGTGGGAGGCTGGAGGCATGGACCCCTGGGCCCCCTCACTCGCCTGGTCCTGCTCCCACGGGGGGCCCTGCTCAGTGGTGGTGGGTCCATTGTCCACACACATTTGCACATGCGTGCACCTGCACACCCCAGCACACGCATGCCTGTGTGCACTACCACATCCACCCATGTGCACCTACAGACACCTCCACCCATGCATGCACCCATAGGGTTGCACACACACCATGCCCCACCGCCTCCCAGTATTCCCTGCCCCACATGTGAGGGTTCCCTTGCTCCATGGACCCCCAGCACCCCTTTGCCCCATGGCCCCTCACTATCCTCTGCCCCACACATTGGCGTCCGCAGGCCTTACGGCACCACTGGCGTCATACATGGGGGTCACCTCTGCACCATGGACCTCCCCAACACCTCCTGCCCTATACATAGGGATTCCCCATGTCCTATAACCTCCCTAGCACCTCCTGGACTGTACCTGAGGATCCCCCATGTCCCACAGCACCCAGCACCCCCTGCCTCATACATGGGGTCCCCCATAACCCCAGTCCCCAGCTTCCCTGCCCCATACGTGTGGGTCTCCCATTCCACATGGCAACCCCAGCACTCCCAGCCCTGTACGTGGGGGTCCCCCCACTCCATGGCACCTCCTGCCCCATACATGGAGGTCGCCCCTGCTCCATGCTCATGCATGGGGCTCCCTCTGCCCCCTAGCCCTCAGCACCCCTACCCATGGGAGTCCCCAGGCCCAATGGCACCCCCTCTGGCCCCATACACGGGCAGCCCCTGAGCCCCACAGCCCCCACACCCAGGGCCCCCAGATCGGGTGTGAAGGGCGGGGCATGGGGAAGAAGGGGCAGAGCCTAAAGGGAAGGTGGAGCCTAGTCAGGCAGGCAGGGCTTACAGGGGCTGCAGTGTTTGCTTCTGGGTCTAAACTGAGGGTGGAGGCAGAGCCAAAAGGAGGGGCTGAGGCATGCTAATGAGGAGGTGGGTCTGGAGGAGGGACAGGGCGGAGCAACAGGGGCCCCAAGGATACGGCAGCGGGCTTAGAGGGACCCGGTGTCCAATGGGAGATTAGAGCTGTACAGGGCAGCCAATAGGAGCTGGGATGGGGGGGGGAGACAGGCACCTCCTCCCTGCAGTCCTCAGCGCAGTTTGTCCTGAGCAGCCAGGGCCTCGCCTGGTACCGTTACCGGGCTTTTTTGGGAGCCCCCCACATCTTCAAAGGCGGTGGTCCCCAGTCCCTACCCACCGTCCTTAATAAGCTTAATGATGTGTGTCGGCCCCACCGAGCCTTCGGGAGGCAGGTCTCCTGCATGGGATGGGGGGGCACCCCATCCCTGCAGCGTCCCTGGAGCCCACGTTACCTCCAGCCTGTGCAATGGGGCACTCAGTCCCACCCCAAGTAATGTGCGAGGCTTAATAAGCCTCCTCGCACCTTCCCTTTCCTCCACCTCCTACCGTGGCGCATGGGCCCGCTCCCGCACTACCCCACTGTCTCCTTTCACTTTCAATCTCTCTCTCTGCTGGCCCCATTTTGTCTCCGGCACCGGCCCCTGCACCTCTCCGGCACCACCCGCTCCTCCGTGGTGGCCCCAATGGCAGAAAGCTTTGAGCACCTGATGCGGGATGTGACCGCAGGGCGTTGCGTGGGCATCGCGATCACCAACAACCTGGAGCATGTCACCCTCCGAAACCCCAGGTAACGTCCCCAGAGCCCGACCCGGACACTCTTGCCTCCCGCTGTCCCTCCCCCCAGCCACCCCCCCTGCTCTGCTGCCTCTCTCCAGGAAGGAAGCCAGG